TGCTAACATTTCCACCCATTGTCTCTATTGCTTTGTTCAGTGTTTGTATGAACGATTTATCCCCATTAACATAGACTGAAAGTGCAGCACTATGCTCTTTTCGTCCTCCAGGAATCTGTTTTGAACACTCGTTACTTTTAGTCCAGGCTTTCTGAAATCCTTCACTGCTGCTTAGTTCTTTTTTTAACACGTCTGACTCAATGAACTTCTTCATGGCCTCTTCACGACATCCTTTGTACTGGTCATCTACAACATCTGTGGTCTTTTGGACATCCAGTAATCTTGTATCCTTTGCGGTCACCTTTAATTGAGGTGTATCACATTTAAAAAACACATGTTTAAATGTATAATTTTTCAAACCTTCAAATACTTTTTTTAAACACAATTCTTACTTTGTAGCAGACAAGCATGAAAATTATTGCAGCAAGAAGCACTTTTCTTCTGCACCCCATTTTTGTTCTCTTCTTCTTCTGAAAGAAAGCACTGCAGGATCAAATGTGGACAGAAGAAAATTCTTTAACACTTTACACAATCCAGAAACATGGAACTGACAAGATGTAAATAATCTGTTAGTTGTTTGGTTTCTGTGGAATATGGCAAGTTTAAAATTTTAAATGTTGGAAAGATTGAAAAGCACATACCTGAAGCAAGAAGAGTAAACTTGTGTTAGCAACTCACAAAAAGGCTGTATCAAACTGCAGGGAACACAGGGTGTGGAGGAAAGAATCAAGATGTCATACAATAGAACTTCTTAGTCTTTCCTGTGGAAGGAAGTAAAAAGGCACCGGGGGGACTAGTTGTCCAGTTATTTATCCTGCTTAAGCTACCCAGTTCCTCTAAGCTTGTTCAGGTTTGTTGTAAACTGCTTCATAGCCAGAGTAATGGTTGCATAGTTTTGCCCCTTTAAACCAGCAATAATTTATTTGTGTTCTAACATAATTTCAGTACAGCTGATTGGGCCAAATACCTCAGTAATTCTTCTATGCAGCCTTTAACCAAAGTAAACAGGAGACTCCAGCAGCCCTAGTTGGACATCTTAAAATTACAGTGTGACATGTTCTGAGCTCACAGTACTGTTGTCCACACTGAGCAGTAACTTAACACATCAACCTCACTACATGCTTTTGCTTTGCATCATGATCTACCCACTTATAAACATTTCACTGTGACATGTCAGCAATCAGCATAGAAGAAATGTAACAATAATTTTCTTAATATAAACTTATAAAGTACTAGTGAAGTAATCACTTGATACTCTTCATATGATATAGCTGGTAAATTAAGCACTAAACACTTTTTAGTGCACACATACCTGATGACTTTCCACTGTATGTAGAATTGTTTTCTCCACTGCTCTCTGGTGCTTGTTAAGAGTAAATTCCTGCTGAGCAAGATCATGTTCTGTTTCCTACTTTCCACTCACGCCCTCCCTTGCTTTGTAGTAAAACATGCATGCTAAAACTTGGGTTTGCAGAGCACTCTGACAGGGTTTTGT